TTTTTTTAAAAAAAGCCCGTCGTGAAATCCTGAAGTGCTCCAGGAATTTGCTTCAACCGAAAAACTGAGAGAGCAAAAGCCTCGTCAGTGCAAGACCCAGAGCAGGAGCAGCCAAGGGCAGGGGGATGGAGCTCTGGCTGCACCTGGATTTATCCACTGGTTTTGAGGCAAACACACAGGAAACCTTCCCCCTTCCCCACCTACAGCCCGTTCCTAACACCAGGCCAAGGAAAATTGCCAGAAGAACTGCTTTGGATTTAAAGCAGGTTCAGACTCCGTTTACAGCTTCAAACTGAGACTCACTGTGGATTTTCCCGTGGGCTGAGGAGCCCCAAGCCACGGCACGAGGGAGGAACAGCCACCCACGGCCGGGTGCCAAGGAGAGCCCTCCCGAGCGCTGCCCTCGCTGCGCCTCGCAGGCAGGTGAAAAACCCAGGACTAACCAAACCTGCAGATGACAGCACACAAGTTTCTAAAAGAAATAATAATAATAATAATAATTAATAAAGCACAAGGAGCAGAACTTGAACCAGGCCAAACTGAACTGTTCTAAATCTGTATATATTTATTTATGTGTAATTAAAATCTGAAAGTTTTAAAATGTCCAGTGCAAGTTATTTATATCAAACTGAGTTGGGGTTTTGTTTTGCCTTTTTTTGTTTGTTTGTTTGTTTGTTTTGGGTTGGTTTTCTGTTTTGTTTTGTTTTGTTTTGTTTTTAAAGATGAAAATCTTCTGATTTTCTGCCATTAGAAATGGGAATGAAGTTTTGGATCCACCAAACCGTAGCATGGACAAGCTAGGCTGTGATGATGATAACTCTAGAAGTTCTGCAGGATTTTGTACTTGCTGTTGTTTCTCTTAATGCTGCAATAGATGTACAACACCCACACCACAATGTCATTCTCATTCTCTTAATAAACCTCTTTTTATTTGAAGAAAGCACCTCCATCGTCTTTGTGAGAAGGATCCTCGGCCTCTGTGGTTGCACCTTGACATAGATTATAGAGAATAGTTACATAGGAATTATATAAATTTAAGGAAGAATCCCCTAGTTTCATGGCTGGGGTTTGCCTGACACCCCAAACAGAGCTCAGGGAGTGCCAGGACCTTGGTGTTCATGTCCCAGAGTCCCCAGCCCTGGTGCCGAGCCAGCCGGCGCCACTGGAGATGAGCAGTGAGATGATGTGCCTGCTGATGTTTCAGAACGACTCAGGGTAGTCAAATCTAAACCTGTCTGTCTGTGAAGACCTGCAGAAGGACCTCATGGTATCAGTGATAAATTAGAAGATAAAGGAACCCCACTAATCTCCAGGCGATGAAGCTGCTGTTCCAGCCACCTCGTACTCTCAGAGCTCAGAAAGAAACCCAATGGGAATGGTTAAAGAAAGGACTGACAGAGCAGAGAACAGACCATGGCATCTGTGTGCCCAGTGCCACTCTGTCCTGAGTGCCACGTGCAGGTCTGGCCAGCCCAGCTGGTGAATCCGGGGGGATCTCAGGTGGGCAGGGTTGAGGCAGGACCAAGGTTAGAGCTGCAGGAGGAAGCACACGAGCAGTGCAGGACAGAGGGGTGGAAAACTGTCACACAGGGAAAGATGACACTGAAACGAGGGGCAGGACACCCTGTGGGATGGTCAGGAAGCAGGTCTGAACAAGGGAGCCTTACCTGCCTTGGGTAAGAAGCTGCAGCTTTTCAGGGAAGCAGATGTAAAAATGGCTCGTGACACAAGGGAAGAGGGTGATTTTAGGGAGCCTTCCCTACACATCCAGGGCTCCTCACAGCCAGAGGCTGGACAGCTGGAATGGGACCGAGC